AAGCCTACCATGGGATCTCATATATATGGACGGCCAAACATCTGCACCAGTCAGTCAAGCAGCGAGTGTCAGAGAGACAATCATATACCGCGTGATATAAATCGTTATACATAAATAGTAGTTATGAGTTAGATATAAATTAGTGTTTCTTTAGTTCAAATAAATCAGTTCGAAAATAAATAGTTTCGTGTTCGCTTCTCCACCCGATTAACGTAACAATATCTATAAAATAGAGCCAGATCGCCAACTTTTCTACGGTGTTCCAGAGAAGTGAATGAGTTTGTGAGCGAAGCATCACCCACGAGATGAATTGCCCTTTTTTGGACAGAACAGTTTCAGGGTATGTTTGGGTGGTGCACTCCAAATATGGGAACAGTATACCAGGACAGGTCGGATCTGTGCCTTATAGATCATATAAGCGGCTGATTGGAAGTGGAATAGCTCCTTGCCCGAGACAGAGAACCAAGTTTTTGGGATGTATTTTCAGCAATTTATTTCACATGATTTTGCCAAGAAAGGTTATTGCTGATAATATTATCAAGCATCGAAATGGATGTCTTCAAACATATGGTTACTCCTGACGGCAGCTCACGCAATAGGAAAATGTGTGCAGTTCAATATGAAAAGGAAGCTATCATATCATAGTCATGTTAGATAGATAGAAGCGGAATTATCGATTTTGTTATGAAAATAACAAATAGCAATATCACAGTGCAATTCTGTATTCTATTTGGACCGGACCTGTTAGATTAGTTATTAGTTCGGGTAATAGCAATATTGTTGGAGAATGACGGAATTTTTAGCCGACAACACTGTTGCGTACTCGTTCGTTGAATATTGAACACCGTTGGTGCGATTTTTTTATGAAGAAGAATTTGATCTTTACCTAACCTCACGGAATAGTCAGAGGTCTCTATAGGCGTTTTCGGAAACTTACTCTGGGTTGTGGACTCGATCTGAACGGGTCACGTGATGGATCAGTCGGATCACTTATCCTAATACTATAGTTTACGAACTTATCAGGTTACTATTTTATTGAGTTAGCTTTATACTACTTCGAATAGAACTTCTTGATTTCTCACGTATGCAATTTTTTCAGTTTGCTATGCGATATCAATATTTTCGGATCAATTTCTCCATATCTTTAAAAACATACCACTGAACTCTTAAAAGATACACGTTGTTATTGTTCTAGAAATGATGAATATTGCTTCTGCTCATGATGTTGATGTATTTTCATCATCAAACTAATGCTATTCAACATAATTCACTACTTGTTCAATTGATGAAATCAAATGATATCTGAAGTGACCTTAGAAATACATGAATCGTGAGTAGTTCTGTGGTAGTAAGTGTATGATCTAAGGTAGTAACTCTGGCTGACCCTGCTTTGAAGCAGGGTTGCGAAACATGAACCCGAGTTAGTGATCGAGTAAGTAACACCGAAGTTTCCGAACATGGGTATGTTACTCGGGTTAGGTAAACGAACGTGCAGGTTAGGGATCGAGTCAACCCGAGTAGGTTTCCGAAAACGCCTTATGATACATACGAAGGATTTTCATCACGTGATATGTTGGTATTCTTGTTTTTCGATGATTGAACAAAGGAATCAGAGTATCTGGTTTCGATGGTCTAGGACTGTGGAGCTGGCAAAAAATCATTATAAAAAGAGAGAAGTTGGTCCATGCAAGTATATCTCGCGGAAAATAATGGGAAAAAGGCTTTCGCAGTTGGGACGAAACTCTTTCTCTCTTCCTATACGAGACAAGAAAATGAATGACATGTAGGGCCGAAAACTCATAAATTTTCTTGAAACAGTTTATTCTAATTGGAATGGCACATCTCTCTCGAATGGAAAACTTGAGCTGATTGGTGGACAGATTAATCCATATCGAAGATCATGTTCGAAAATTCAGCTGCTTTGTTCGAAAGCCTTGGCAAATTCTCAAGCATATGAAAAAAAAACTATATTAAACACGGAACATCATTATAATGTTCGATAGTTGAGCTGCCATCAATTCGCTGAACTCTATAGTTATCAGCTTTACGAAATGGTTTGGAAATACCAGGAAAAACTGGAGGAGTTATAGCCAACAGAAATGCAATCATCATTCTATGGGTTCCGGGAGACTCCAGAGTAGAGAGAAATGAAGTAGAGGACAATCCCGCTAGAAAATGAGCTCAATCGCCCTTCGTGAGGCCAGAATATTTCTGCGGAATGAGCAGCAGTAGATAAAATGTTGTATTTCTATTCCAAATACTGAAGCATTCTCTTTTTTGAACTGTTTGTTCTCATTATTAGAAGGGCACGTTTCATTAGATTATGAAATTAATGGTGTGGGGACAGTCCATGGGACAGGACTTATTTTCAAAGGTGATTACCGCGATATAAACATCCATACCTTATCCGTGAGAATCTTGTTATAACATTGCGGAATTAAAAATATTGTTATGGTAACAACAAATAGCACTATCACTCTGTAATTCTGTGTTCTATTTGGACAGTTCACATGTAAGATCGGTTATTAGTTGGAGTGATAGCAACATCGTCAAAAAATGGCAGATTTTCGAGCGATTTCGTAATCGTACGTTGAATGTTGAACACCGTTAGTGCAATTCATTTATGAAGAGGAATTCAATCATTACTTCACCTTTCGAATTTTTCAGAAGTGTCAATAAATCAATAGAAGGATTCCTATCACGTGATCTGTTGTGATTCGTGTTTTTTTGATGAATAAACAAAGGAAGTAGAGTATCCCGCTTCTATGGTCAAGACGACTGTGGAGCAGGCGAAAAGTCATTATAGAAAATTGCATGCATTTTCTAAGAAGAGTTCATTCAGATTGGGATGGTAGATAAAGGTACATATACATCTCTCTAGAATGAAAGAGTTGAACTGATTGGTTCACAAATTCGTCCGAATCATGGTTGACAAAGTGACTCATCTGGATACTAGCGAAAGTGTTAAATTTCTGGGTATTTCCATGACAAGTTTCTGAACTGGAATCCCCAATGTCAACACTTAGCTCCCAAGCTCAATTCCATGAAGTTTCTATTGATGAATTCGCGTTCGGTTTCAAATAGAACTCAACTGCTCAATATTTATTACTCTCCGGTAGAGTCCAGACTCGCTCGGTTTCAAATAGAACTCAACTGCTGAATATTAATTACTCTCTGGCAGAGTCCAGACGGTATGGTGTCTGTTTTTGAAGTAGTTCAAGCATGGCGCAATATGTATTCATTGCCCAAAAACGCATATTGCAAAGGTCTCGGCCAGATAATCTTGTATACCACTCTTCAAAGATTTTGTGAGTTAACGTTAGTATCTATATATATTTATATAGATACTAACAGGAATATGCCTGTATAAATATGGAAACAGTTCAGTTTCTGAAGTGAAGTAACAATGTTCATCGCCATGACACCAGGATTAGAGATCCGTTTTATGTACCATTTGCTACACTAAGAGTTACCTCCAGTTCACCTGAGCACATCGAAAGGAGAATTTTCAATAAACTTCCTCACCACATTCAACAGTTTTTTTATGCAAAAAAATTTTTATTCGTTGACAGAATTTTTAGACTAGATGTAGGTATTATTCTTCGAATCGTCTTTTCTACATTTTCTTTTTTTATTTATCTTTTTCATGTTCTGACAATTTCATATAGAATTTGTATTATTGTCTTGGTGAAAAATGAAGTATTAATTATTACTGAAAAATCATCTTTGTCTAAATTCCAGCTGCCTCCATCGAAAGCCTTGGCTAATTGGTGGTGGAAACTGTCGATTTGTATAGTCGGTTATCGCGTTAATCAGTATTGCTGTAGGTCTTTGTGCCTTCTACTCGACAACCCTCTCCGAAACGGCTGTATTTATATTGTAAGTTCTATTAAACCATTTTATATATTGTATGTCATATTTATAATGATTCCTTTTCTATATGATGATGATCTAATTAATGTATTTATGTTTTGGATATGGTTTTTACTACTTCTCATACCCCTTAACAATTAGTGCCTGAGTTAATATAATCTACCCTATCTGAGCTATCCTCAAAGATGATCCAGTGGTCTCATATTATCAGAAAGACAAGGATCGTGACACTATCGCCATCTGGTGCCGTTAGGTCTGAGGTGGGGCTTTGCAACACGTCCTCACAGAACTATAGAAGGTGCCATAGAATGAAGAATACAAAATTAGGAATACGAAACGAAAAATACCAATCCATACACATATCGTGAAAGGTGGATGCAAGAAAGATATCAGGCATACTGGAACAATGTCCCAGGACAAAGACACAGTAAACTGATGGTTGGAACACTGTCCAAAACAGTGACTAACGACATTCTTAGCCTAAACAGAAGTCAGATCAAACAAGTGACGGGACTAAGAACCGGTCGTTGCCCCTTGAGGAAACATATGCATCAAATGGGCATCTATACAGACGAACCCATATGCAGACTATGCAATGAGGAGGAGGAAACTGCCACCCATGTAATATTGGAGTGCGAAGCACTAGCGCGTTGGAGATACAACCTTCTGGGAGCAGTAAACTCTCAAGAGGCATTTTCGAAGAATGATTTGGTGAAGAGGCTGCTAAACCTCATCATGGTAGCGAACCTGTTCACCTAAGTCAACAGCATGATCAGGAATACAATAGGCCCAAAGGCTGCAGTGTTTTGGGCTTCAAACCCTGACTGATCATTCTGCTATTAATCAATCAATCAATCAATCAATCCACACACATCTCGTTTCATCTTGGAACACACAAATAATACATCATGAGGAATGAGAAATAAAGAATAAAAAATAATATTCCGAACATGACGGAATTTTCATTCCATTTTCTTATTTATTCAACGTTTTGACCAATCAGAACAGAGTGTTAATTGATTATCTCAATATAACACTTTTATCACACGTGGTACCTCTGTATAAGAAATTGAGAACTTATACCAATAGAAATTATTGGAATATTGATGTTTTGAGGTTCGACTTACCAACAAATATAACCAGGATCAGCGTATTCATGTTATCAATAGTCGATAGATGACTCTGAGGATGTTCATTCATTACATTACTCCTGAAGATACAGCATATTATCACTTCACTAGATAATCAGAAATAATAAAAAAAAGTGGGGAAATGTGTCAGAGCTATGTGACATCATTAATATTCCAAACAATTTTTCAATAATTTCCGGAGATGCAAGAAACTGTTACTTATATTATTTGTCCATTTGATTGTCAGAATTGGTAAGAAATAGCAATTTTGTTAATGATAAAAATGAAGGTGTAGGTGCATGTATACATGTCCCGATTGTAGTTGTTATTCTGCTCAGTATCTGCGTACAGAGATCATTATATACTCTTTAATATGAGTGAGTCAGAAATGTGTACCGAACTTTCTGGAGGTGATGATGGATTGAAAAATAAGTACCACATTCTAGAACAATTTTGAGGATTGTGCAAAGATTGTGTGAGAAACGATGTTTTATTACGAAAAATGGAGATGGTGTCCGGCCAAAGAGTTCGTGGTCTGGAATATTATACTGATGAATTTATCTGCTAATATGATACAATTTTTGTACTCTGATGTAAGTACCATTTTCTTGTATTTCTTTTCGCAATAAATCCTGACCAACTCTTTGAAAACACCCTTCATGATAATGTCAGGAGAAATCTATTTCATCAACATAACATTCATGCACAAAATTCATTCTGGTGGCTTCTAAAGGTCAGAAGTTATGCGGGAAAATGATTTCAATTTCGCAAGTTTGGAGAGATATATTTTCTTCAATATACATTTTGGGCCATCAGTTCATTTATTGAACAATACTTATTTTCCAATTCATTATCACCTATAAGAAACTCAGTAGGTACACATTGTTGACCTATTCTGTTCTTTGAACGAAGTGACTCCCGGTATCTTCAAATATCTCTGTAAAAAATGAAGTTATTGGAGGGAATTCATAGTAGATCACTTTGTACAATCTGGACTTCCAGAAAAAATTCCACAGATTGTTTGCAAAACAATGACTTCAACTTCGTATAATTTTTTCAAACAATATCAGTGATCTTTTGAAAAATCGATATTACGAGCTGAAACCATTATCATATATTTCATATATTAAAAAACAATTTTGGGTAATGAAAATTGGAGACAGATTCGAAACAGTCGGATGGTCTATCTAATTTTCATGATTTTATTCGCATCATCTCTAATGATGTCTGCTGTGATGTAATATTCCCAGAATTCAGAAAAAGCCTACTATTGATATGTTGTTTTCTTGGAAAAGTAAAAAGATATTTGCATGAGTCATCAATTCCTTCAAGTGAACTCTAGATATATCATTATATTTCTTAGAATCCCCACGATAACTAGATATTTTCGTTGGAGTATCCGAAGATCAGGAAGAAAAACATGTCAACACGTGTTCGGGACCGTGTATCACTCTATACATTGATTGAATAGATCAAAAACTAGTATTCTCCGTCATGGTCCAAAATGGACTTCCCAAAAAACATAAAACATATTTGGTTCTAAATTCAAACAGTTCCATGATAAACTTCAGTGATTATTTGTTGAAAAATTTGTTATTTTTGTATCTAGAGCGCGAAATGCTATACTTTGGTGATCGAAATATGATTTTTTAACGACGCGTGTATTTCGCGCTCGAGTTGCAAACAACATTTTTTCAACGAACGTCAAAAAATATAGTTCTAAAGTGAAAACATGCTCAGCTTTATATAAAAAATAGTGTTGAACTGGCTTAAAAGGCCTCCCCCTATCCTCCCTAGGCACGCACGATGGTCCACGAACATAATAAGAATTTTCTTTCGTGCGCTCCAAGAGATAAAACAAAGTTATTGTTGAACATTCAGAAATGAATAATTTCGTAGATGTTTGCTCGATTGGGGACCATGAAGTTGAAATATAAATATCTCATATATTTTATACAGGGTGTCCGCTAAAAGGAGGTCAATCCATTAACCACATATTCCTTGAACAAAAACAATATGAGTTTCTAAATATCATTTTTCATTTTAGCCCTTCATATTCGGTATACAGGGTGTCAAAGTTGGAAATTAAAAACTGTTTTTTTCTAATTACTCGCGTATTTGATAGGATATTAATCTCAAAATTGGTACATTACTTCAGCACAAAGAGTTACATCGTGTGAGGAAAACAAAACAGAAAATAACTGTCAAATATTCAAGATACTGGGGGTCAAGTTCACACTTACCCCCATATTTTGTTTGTACGTGCGCTAATGACTTCCTATCTATTTTCCTTCAAGTGTTCAATCATTTTTGAGTATTTTTTGTGTCTTGTGAAATTTCGATTGAATCATTTGTTTTTAAGATAATTCGAAAAGTACTGGTTATTGTTTGATGCCTATCCTACGCGGCTTAGGTAATCTCATAATGTTCACATACTCCTATTTATTTCGTCGAAATTGAAAGAGGGCGTATCTTTTTACGTACGAAAAGGTAAATATGGAAATACCGGGTGCTCGGAGCAAACGTACTAAAATAATTTTTACAAAAAAAAAAATTAAAAAGTGTAAAAATTATTTTAATACATTCGCTCTGAGCACCCGGTATTTCCATATTCACCTTTCCGTACGTAATAAGATACGCCCTCTTCCAATTTCGACGAAATAAATAGGAGTATGTGAACATTATGAGATTACCGTAAGCCGCAAGGCATCAAACAATAACCAGTACTTTTCGAATTATCTTAAAAACAAATAATTTTATCGGAATTTTACAAAAATCAAAAAATACTCAAAAATGATTGAACACATGAAGAAAAATAGATAGGAAGTCATTAGCGCACGTACAAAAAAAATATGGGGGTAAGTGTGTACTTGACCCCCAGTATTTTGAATATCTGACAGTTATTTTCTGTTTTGTTTTCCTCACACGATGTAACTCTTTGTGCTGAAGTAATGTACCTATTTTGAGATTAATATCTTATTAATTACGCGAGTAATTAGAAAAAAACAGTTTTTAATTTTCAACTTTGACACCCTGTATATCGAATAAGAAGGGCTAAAATGAAAACTGGTATTTAGAAACTCATATTATTTTTGTTCAAGGAATATATGGTTAATGGATTGACCTCCTTTTAGCGGACACCCTGTATAACAATGCGCAAAGTAGGTACTTCGCTCACTGTTTTACATCGCGCATTGTTTTGTGCAAGGTATCATGGTAACATAGGAAATCAAAAAAGTTTCACTTCGCAATTTGTTATCAATGCACGTTTGGGAAAAAATATTTTAAATTCGTATTCTCAAGGTATACTCAGGTGTGAGAATTCAGAATTATACTTTTATTCTTCCATGAAATATTAGTGATTTTTATTGAGAATATGGATATTTCAATCTGGACCCTGTCATTTTCCTTTTTCCTAAAACAACTCAATTTTGGAACATAAAAAGTGTAGGATAATAATTTCCGTTCTGCTATATACTCAGATTTTAGAACAGTCCTACTATATTCGTATCTGTTGGTTCCTCATTTTTTTATGCATTCCACATTTCTAGGATAATTTGCCAAAAAAGTTGGAAGTTATACGTATAAAAGGTACCTACGTCATCAAGTTCTTCATAAATTGCACTCTATATCAGTACATTCCTATCAATATCCACGAAAACTCTCTGTTCTTATTCAAGTATCGGAAAGATCAAAATAAAAAATAAGCATAAGAAAAGAAGGAATCCCCTTGGACTCTTCTGAACGAAGACAATAACATTTCTTCCTGTTCATTCGATATAGATCAAATATGGTATTTATTACTGAAATCTGATCATGGTGATTTCAAGATGTTTTTTTATGAAATCATCCTGTAACCTAGTTGCTCGCCAACATCAACATCTGTCATTGAGAAGTGTTAAACTGAAATCGAAAGACAATTTGACGAGAAAAAGATTATCCATTTTTCATGTTGAATACGGATGCATTTCCATTTCAGAAACGTCCGGAAACATGTGGATATTCGATATTTTCTTGATGTATATTTCTCTTCTTCAATTATTTTTCAATTCGAAGGGTCACTGACAACCAATTGAACTTCTCTGACTGATTCGTCTTCACTACCCTTTTATTGGAATGAGACCCATATTATTATTTGAAAGAAAATCAATTTTGGACCATGAGAACTGGGGGAATACTTATAACAAAGTTGACGTTGGAACCTCTGAAGATTTTATCGCCCATAATCGCATCATTCACATGTTAATGCCTACTCATTTAGATTGCCATATTACTTTAATTTAAAACAGTTCTGCTAGTAGTAATGATAATGGTACTTGTTCGTTACTTGTTTTCACCAAGCTGACATTGACATTGCCAAAAGAGTATGAAGTTATATACGTATACGTCAAATTTGTTCAAGTGCACCCTGTATGAATTGGACAAAAAAAACTAGTTGCTCTTGTTCAAGTATCCAGAAATCGAGGAGGAAAAACACGTAATCACGTGTCCTTAACCGTCAGAGGACAAGGACTACAACCGAGAGGGATAGCGCGAAGAGCCAGACTGGTGGGCCAAAGGGCTGAACTGAAGGTCTGTTGAGGCTCTCCATCGGTGTCGACGCCTGCCATGCGTCGAGACGCCGATAAGCGACGCTGCACTCGGCATTTTTTATGAGAATACGTTAAATTTTGAATTGAAATTGAACAACATTTTTATTCTTATTCTTCGATTATGAAATTCAAATTTATGGTAAAACTGCACTTACAGTGCGATGGTTTTTTTTCGAAAATTTTGTTCGGTACTAACGTATTTTTGTCTGATTTGATGATGAAAATGTGAACAAACTTTTATTTATTGAGATATTTTACTATAAAGTTATAAATTGCACCGTCTTTTAGATCGCAATTAGAACAATTTGCCCTTCTTTGTTCATCATTGGACAATTTATGTATCACAATGTACAGTGTGTCCAGATTTCGATGCTTTTGCATGATACCTCAGTTATTTTCGAAGATTGAACCTCGCATTTTTCGCGGTCTTGCACCACTTTTTTGTGAAACTCAAGATGGCCTAATC